CTACATTATGTGTGTGGATTGTAATTCCCCCTTTCCCCCCTTATCCCTCCCTTTTCACCCATCCTCTCCAGTCCCTTTCACCTTGGTAACTGTTAGTCCATTCTTGGCTTCTGTGAGTCTGCTGCTGTCTTGTTCCTTCCATTTTTGCTTTGCTCTCATACTCCACAGATGAGTGAAATCCTTTGATACTTGCCTTTCTCCACCTGGCTTATTTCACTGAGCATAACACCCTCTAGCTCCATCTGTGTTGTTGCAAATGGTGGTAGGATTCGTTTTCTTCTTATGGCTGAATGATATTCCATAGTGTGTATGTACCACCTCTTCTTTATCCATCTCCTGGTGGACACGTAGGTTGCTTCCATTTCTTGGCTATTGTAAATAGTGCTGTGATAAACATAGGAGTGCATCTGTCTTTTTCAAATTGGGCTACTGCATTCTTAGGGTAAATTCCTAGAAGTGGTATTCCTGGGTCAAATGGTATTTCTGTTTTGAGCTCCATACTGTTTTCCACAATGGTTGAACTAATTTACATTCCCACCAGCAGTGTAGGAGGGTTCCCCTTTCTCCACAACCTCACCAACATTTGTTGTTGTTTGTCTTTTGGATGGTGGCAATCCTTCCTGGTGTGAGGTGATATCTCATTTTGGTTTTAATTTGTATTTCTCTTATAACTAGCGATGTGGAGCATCTTTTCATGTGTCTGTTGGCCATCTGAATTTCTTCTTTGGAGAACTGTCTGTTTATAGCTTTTTTTATACAAACATTTTTCTTTCAGGTTAAAGAGAACATGTGCCCTTATTTTGTTTTCGTTTAGACCCCTGATATTCCTGAAGTGCGGAAGGCATGCACCCCTGCCATCCCCTTTTCCAAATGGAGTCATTTCGGACAGTTTGGTTTGGACTTGCTCAGCGGGTGAGCACTGGGTGTTGGTCTAGTTTGAGGCCTTTCACACAGTGCAGGATGCTCTCGAGGCCTCTGCTCTTTAAGCATCAACTTAATGCTGATTCTGGTCTAGTTGTGATTGTTTGGAACTGGGACTCTTTGAGTTTGGTACTAATAACTTGATGGCTTTGCAGTTTGAGTGGACCCTAAAATAAAAGGTTTTGCCCATGAAATGATTCAAAGTAAAAGTTGCCATTGCTCTTGAGGTTAGTGAAGGGAGCAACAAGTGGCATGTGGCTGCCCACACGTGCCAGCCTGACTGTGGCTGTGGCTGCACAGAGTTGTTGTTGGGTGTTTCTGGGCCTGTTAGGGAGCCTTGGTCAGACTCTGCTCTGAGTGATGGCATCTTGGGTCTAAAAAGACTGTCAAGCCTACAGATACCTATTTTTAGTTATAATTGATTTGACGATTAGAGTTTCAGAAATACGAGTTTTCTTATTGTCTGTTGGTCTAAAATCTAGACCCTATAGCTGTACGTAGTTTATGTTTTGTAAATTGGACATGTTAGTGGTTTTCTAATGTTGACATAAGTTATTAATTACTTTCTCTGTAATTGAGTTCCAACCTTCTGTTGTAAAGATTGTAAGAAAATGTTAAACTGAGTTTGTTGAAATATGACCCATTTATGCTTAAATCACTGAAATCATCATTTTGAATTCTTTTTCCCCATGTTTAATTAGTTCTTATCTACTTTTAACATAAAACATTTTAAGTTACATGATTATTACGTGAATATATGCTTATAAACAGTCAGAGGCTGCAGGGTAATTCAGGAGGCAGTGAAGGGCTGTGCCCGTCCTCTGCGTGCGGCAGGAAACCCAGTTGTAACTGGCATGTATAATAAAGAGGGCACCCCAGGGCTCTGCCTATCTTTCTTGGGGACTGCTGAGCTGGGCTTCTCTCTGCCTGCACCCAGACAGAGTGCCTGCACCCTCTCTGCAGAGCAGGGTGATTGTCCCTGACATTTTCCTTCTCATGTGAGGGGCTCCTGTGCCTCCTCCCAGTCACCCTTCTGGCCAAGGTACTGCCATGCACTGGCAAAAGACAGGGTGACTGTGCTGGTCTGCACACACCACTGGCTGCTTGCAGGTCCACCATGTGTTTCCTGGCTGTTCCCCCACCCTCGTATCTCCATGTGTCCCTGCTTAGTGGTGAGGCGTCATGGCACCTATGCAGACACACACACACACAGGAGAGAGACTCATGCTAATGGAATGGTTCTGTGAATTACTCTCATTATTTTGATGTCTCCCCTTTCTCACTGAAAAAGGAAAATCTTAGCTGTTGAAGTAAAGAGTCTGAGTTGAGTCTTCTAATAGGCCTCTTGAGTCAGAAAAATAAACGGCAGTTCTCCGACCAGGGCCCTCTAAACCCAAGCACATCAATCTTGGGGCTCATTTTCGCTTTTAGTATCTGTTTTTTAACAGCCATGTTGGGACTGGTTTATCTCATGCCTCTGTTGACCATGGGATTAAAGTGCAGTCTGGGAGTTGATCTGTCTTACAGTTCAGGCCTTAAAGCTCTAACCACTTTCTCCTTAGTAGTTGGGCTGTTTTGGGAAGCTGCATAGTATATGTCTTTAATTTATTTACCTGTCACTTAAGTTGAGATTCAATTCTTTGGGAGTTCTACACTGACCCTGTCCATACCTCTCTCCGTGCCCTGGCTCTCTAGTCCGTTTTCAAAGGTGTCTGTAATTTTCATAGTTCTCAATACAAAGATGTAAGAGTATAATTAATTAATAAGAGCTATGCATCGTGAGAAAATCATAGTGGCTTTTCTTTATTCTTGTTCAGTCAGTGTGGCTCTTCAGTAGGTCAGGAGAGCCTTACCTCCACACGTGAACGGGGGCACTGTGTTTGTCTGCCAGGGCCGCCGTAACAGACCACCACAGGCTGGGCTGATGCTTACTTGGTCCCCGCCCTGGAGGCTGGAAGGTGAACGTGCTGATGGGCTTGGCCTCCGAGGCCTCCCTCTGTAGCGTGGAGGCGGCTGCCCTCTTGCTTTGCTGTTGTGGCCTTTTCACACCCTGGTGTCTCTGTGTGTCACATTTTCTTTTACATGGACATCAGTCAGATTGGATCAGGGCCACCCTGAAGACTCCATTTGACCTAGATCGCCTCTTTCACGACCTTGTCTCCAAATGCAGTCACCTCCATAAGTACTGGGGCTTCGGGCTTCGGCATGTGGGTTTTGGCATCTTTGCTCTTGACAGATGCACTGATTGGCCTATACTTTTAAAATTAAATTTGGGACACAAAGATTTAATTCATGATGGGATGTAAGAAAATTGTTACTTAATAGTCTCCATTTAGACAAATTTTACTGGATAACAGGATTTCCTGTGTAAGGTAGCTTTGGAGGGGGGCCAGTGTAGGAGGCATTTCATTGTTTAACTCTGCATATGTTAATTGTACATTTATGTGAGACTTTATTACAAGGACCATGTATGTACAGTTGGCCCTTGAACTACTTGGGAGTTGGGGTGTCATCTCCCCCAAGCCCTCACAGCTAAAAATCTGTATGACCTTCGACTCCCCCAGAACATAATTACTAATAGCCTACTGTAGCCTGCTGTTACTGATAACATAAGCAGTTAACACATATGTTGTATGTTATATGTAGTATATGCTGTATTCTTAGAATAAAATAAGCTAGGGAAAATAAAATGCTTTTTTTAAACTGTCATAAATCCCCAAAGTATCCAATATATTTTGGACCTGTGCAGTTCAAACACATGTTGTTCACGGGTCAGCTATGTATAGTTGGATATAGAAAACCAAGTGGAAGAAGAGAAAGTTTCCCTATAGTTGTCCTAATTTCTTCCTAGCAAACACTAGTGATCTTTGTGTTAATCCCAGAACCTTTGAAAGAGGCAACAGCATTTGACAGTCAAAGGTAAGAAATTTGAAGCTAACTGAAGATTTTCTTAAATGATTTCTAAGATGACCAAATAAATCAACATGAAGAAAAATGATGTTAAAATATAAACATTGTTTTTATTTCAACAAAAATGTAGTAATAGTAACCCTTGTAAATATTTACTTTGTGTCAGGCATTGTGAAGGTTATTTATTTGTGTTCACTCCTTGAATCTTCACCACAGCCCTTTTGGGAAGGTAGTGTCATTTTCCCTCTTCACAGGTGGTCCTGTGAGGCACAGGAAGGGTCAGTGGTCTCCCCAAAAAGCAATTTGGAAAATGGTTTTGCTTGAAGTTGGAGGATCCTCTGAGCATCAGAACTTGAGTCATCTATGTTAAAAGGTTCTGTTTTAGCTGAAGTAGAATATAGTTCTACTAGCATTTTAGGAGAGCTAAATGGAGCTTTCAGTTCTTTTAAATTGAGGATTGAAGAGCTGAGTTAAAAACTGCACGTGCATTGTCAAGTCAGATCCGCCTGGTTCAGAACTCCTGTTGGCATCTAGCTGGCTTTGTGCCGTCACCAGATGGACCTGTCTCACCTCAGTGGCCTTATCTGTGAGGTGGATTGAGTTGTCCTTGCCTCCTAGGAGTTACTGCAAGGACTGAAGGCAGGAGGCATGTTGGGTGTTCGGTGTGATGTGTGCCCGTGGAGAGCATTCTGTTTCAGCTCCCACTGGCATTTGGAGGCATATTGAGTTGATTTTGGTTAAGAAGTCCACGTTTCCCTCTCTGCGTTCCCTTTTCTGGTGGATTTTTTTGTGACTGTGTCTTGAAGTTGAAGAAAACAGCGGCTACAGAGCAGAGAACCAGGAGTGAAGCGGGCACAGTGGAGGTATCTCCTTCTCTGTAGTTTAGTGGCCTTGCACAAGTTTACTGAGCTTCTCTGATCCTCAGTCTTCTTGTGGGGAAAACCATACACACCTCCTGGGGTTCCCCACAAGGGTTTAGTTAGATCATATGTGCCAAGTGCCAGGTTTTCTTGAGACCAGTTGTTAAAGGTGTAAAACAGTCTTGTTTTGTGGTGTCATTTTACTAAATATAAAATTGTCTGAACTTAACCAGTTCAGTAAATTTTAGGGCCCATTTTGCCTGTATTCACCTAGAAACATCATAACTGGATTTCTCTTTATTCCTGCAGGTGCTGGAGATCAGAATCTGTTCACCTCTGTTCACCCAGTGCTTTCCCAGCAGCTTCCCAGAGAACCGATGGAGTGGAGAAGGTGCGGTGTGTTGTTTGTTGGCATGTTGCCTACTTTATTTTTTAGACATTTATATGAATAAATGATAGAGTAACATTCAAAGCCCGAGTTCCACAGTGTATTGTAAGGAAACTGAATGGTATCACATAAACTCTAGGCCTTATTCTTTAAAGAGTACATCGATTTTCTTAATGTGAAGTAGAATGATAGAAGTAAGTCTTTTGAGTTCAAGGCTGATTTTCACAGGAATGGCTTCTGATTCTTCATGGGTCGTCAGAATGTCCTGAAGGCACGGGCGTTGTGGAGAGGAGACACGCACTCCCTTGGACTCTGTCAGAGCAGGAGGCCTGGTCTTTGTCTAGGCATGTCATGGCCTCTCCCCCATGAGCCCTGTGCTCTTAGGGGTGAGAAAGGACACAGAACAGTGCTTCAAAGTTGGGAAAGAAACCAGACCAACCACAGTCACCTGTTTGCCCTACTGTGTGTAATTGTTCCTCTAATGACTTGTTCAGAGGAAATAATTGACTTTGAATTATCTTATTGGAAAACTTATTTCTGCTAAGATTAGATATTATTTTTAGAAAATGTTTGGATTTTGACTTGAAAATACAGGTAATCTGATTTTAGCCAAGGTATATAAAAATTCCCTGTTGTTATGCATGTAATTCTGATTCTTGCTACATTGTTCTTTTCTGACCACCTATTTGTACCCTACTAACAGATAATTAATGTGGCTTTCTGGGGAGACTCACCCATGTTTTCTATTGAATCTGGACTAATTTTTGTGCCCAGTTATAGTGTTACAAAGGAATGTGTTTAATTATTAACATTTAATATAAGGAGTGCACAGACTGTGGGAGAATTTTCTTATGGAAAAACTGCCCAATGCTGTGAACAAGAGAAAATAACTCAGCAAGTGGGGGAATATAATCCCTAAAGAAATGGAGTAATTGGAAAAGGATTTCAAACAAGTATACATTATTTAAACTTTCCGAAAAATAAGAAAGTGTGTCCATGAAACAAGAAAGGGAGTTATGAGAAAAAACAAGAAACCAAAGTAGAGAACCTACAGAGATTTAGTGTAGGTATTCATCTTCTCACTGACCTGAACCCACTAAACAAGGAGAAAAGGACTGAAGGCATAAATAAAGGCACAAGGACAAGGAAGGGGAGGTGACAGCTGCAGAGAGGTGTGGAAGAAAGAAGGATGGAGGAACGGGGAGAGAAAGCTGAGCCCCATGTGTCCGCAGAGGTGGCTCCCTGAGAAGCAGGTGAGTCCCTGACAGGTGACAGGGCTCAGGTCCTCAGTAGGTGAGGGCAGGGCAGGCTGGAAACGGGGGTGGTGGAGGCTGGGCAGGGAGCAGTTAGGTGCAGTGCCCCACGTGAGCCTGTCGGGTTGGGGGGGCCCACCCTCTGTGGGTAGGGGGCCCACCCTGTGTGGGTACTTGGGGGTGCACGGCCCTGCAGGAAGCAGGAAGATCCCTTCTGAACCAGAAGTCTGGATGTAAGCAGGGTGAGGCTCAACCCCAAGGGCTCTGAGACACATCCATGCCCCAGGCAAGAGCAGAGAAGCCATCTCTGGGGAGACTGGATGTCACCATGGAAAAGACACGTCTCTTCTTCGGATAATGCGGGAGGCTGTGCCTCAGCTAATTTAGGACACGGGGCATGTTCCTAATTGGAGCAGGAGGGCTGTAGGCTTCTGAGGTACCACAGGAAGGAACTGGGAGATGGCCCGAAGCTTGACCCATGGGTAGCTCCCTGGGGGCTTCCGGTTCTGTGGGAGAGCTTAGGAAGAACTAAAAACGGTGGCGCTGTGAGCCAAGCAGATGAAAAATGCCAAGAGAAGGCGAGGTTACTTTATAAACCCGCTGTAACCATGGGTTACTTGGCTCATTAGTGGACAGTGCTCCCACATTTAATAATAAGGCTACACCAGGTACAGAGGGACAGCAAACGCTGTGGTGGAGCTGGTGGGAGGGTACAGGACAGCAAGGATGGGCAGACAGCTGTGGCGCATCTCCCCTCACAGACAGCTGAAGATGGTGCCTAAAGCTCCTGGGAAGTAGAGTGAATCGTCAGTTTGAATCGTGGCCCCCAAAGAACAGGTGCATCCAGAATCTGTGCATGTGACCTTATTTGGAGTAAGAGTGTTTGCAGCTGTGATCAAGTTAAGGCGCTCAGTATACCGTCATGGATTCAGGTGGGCTTGAAACCCAATGACAGGTGACCTTAGGCAACACAGGAAAGGAGAGACATGGAGGCACACAAAGGAGGACACGGTGGCCGGGATGGCAGTGGCATATCTGCGAGCCAGAGGACGCAGGGGTGCCGGCGGGAGGAGGGAGGCGAGGGCGGGATTCTTCCCCAGAGCTTCCAGGCAAGCAGTGCTGCTCCCACCTTGGTTTCAGATTCCTGGCTCCTGGAACCGTGAGACAGTTAAGGCTATTTTAAGCCTCCAGGTTTGTTGCAGTTTGTTACAGTAGCTCCAGGAAACTAATACTAATATTAATGCTACTAATAAAAGGGAAAGTGAAGGATGGGGCTTGGCTGACAGTGTCCCAGAGGGGTGGTGTGTGAGTATGAGTGTGTGTGCGTGTGCACGCACGTATGTGCGTGTGCACTCACATGCGCCCATGTGCACATGTGTGACCTGTGCATGCAGGGCTGTGTGTGAAAGTTTTTTAGTACTATTTGACATGTTAAAGTATGTATTACTTTAATTAAAAAAATCTAAAATTAATTGATTCGATCTTGGAAATTAAAAAGAAGCAGAAACTTTATGAGGTGCAATCAACAGCTGCAGTTAGAAGTTGGAAGATTTGAATTTAGAGACTGGAGTTTAATTCTGGAGATTAATGCTAAGAGCTTAAGCTGGAAAGCAGGAGAGAAGAGCTGAGAAGGGGAGGGTACATCCGGAAGTTCCAGGTGTTTCCTAAGGGGACAATAAAGGGAATGGAGGACAGGCAGCATTTGAAGAACTATTGTCAAGATTTTCCCAGAAGTGACTCAGGAGATTGCTGAAGTCCCTGAAAGCCAAGCAGAATGGAAACCAAACAAAGCTGACAGAAAGACATGCTGCGGAAATGGGGGTGGGGAGCTGGGGAGGAAAACCAAGTTTGCAGTTCCCAGCATCACTTAAAAACAGTCTTCTCAAAATGCTTTGGGAAAATACCTTTGAACCTAGAAGTCTGTGTTACTTAAAGTCTTATGCAAGAGGGGAGACTGAGTTAGAACCACCCGTTGTTGGCTTGGATGACACAGGGCACTGAGAGATTTTGTGGCTCATAGGGCTGGGGCCAGCTGGAGCTCAGGATGGCCAGTAGCCCTGATCTTTCCGTCTGCTGGCTAACTCCTGACTCCACAGAGCCACCTGTGTTTGTCCAAGTGCCCTTGAATGTTATATTCCCCGCTTGCCATGCCATGGAGATAGTTGGGAACAGTGCAGTAAATATTTCCAGATACATGTGATCAGAAACCTTCTCACCTGTCTGTAACTACTAAAGGATGTATCTCAACAAGAGGCAAAGAGAACCTGGAATGCATAGGGTGAAAGGAGCAGCTCCAGCCATAAAAATACTTAGCTAAAGTTAAGGTATCAATCCTTTTAAAAAACCCCAAAATCTAAAATTCCAGACATGTGGAGAAAGCAGAAGCCAGTGTATGTGTGTACTACCTTTCTTGTTTTGCTCAAGGAGAAGACAGACACTTGCTTTAGGCTTTTAGAGAAAAATTTAAGCTTATACATGTTAACAGTAAGAATCTAACCAACTAACAGTAGAACAGAAATGGATGGTTAACCTTTCAAACTAGCAGAGAGAAAGGATGGAAAAAGAAAACTTGATTGATCTCACAGAGGACAGGAGAAACAGAAAACCTGCATATAGGAAATACACAAGCTTATGCATAAGCATAGTCACATTACATGTGGTCAGTCTCAACTTACTGAGCACAGAGATGCTTAGACTGGATAAAGATACAAAGTCTGGTAATAGATATTTAAAAGAGACACAGCTTACTAGAGGTGGAGAGTAAAGGTTTGGGAAAAGATAGATGTAGCATAATCTTTTTTCAGAAGTATAAGAAAACAGCGTCATGTCCTCCAATAGCCTAGAGAGACGTATGCAGCTTGGGGATTTTTCTGTGTGTCCATTTTTCTTGGGCTGAGGAAAGGGGAAGGGGGCTCGCCATTATTTCATTTATGTTCTGCAGGCAAAAACCTGCTCTCTTTCACCAGACAGTCCTTTCTCAGAGGGGATGATACAGGTCGTCACAAAGTATTAGTACAGCGTAAAGCTTTCAGGACTTCAGACTGTGCTTTTTACATTTGAGAAACACTTTTCTTTTATAGTGACTTACAGATTAAATTAAACTCCAAGTAAAATCCATTTCCTCTCAGAAGTCTGTATTGTTGCAAATAGCCCTGGTTAAACAGACTTTTACTGTACATGTATCATTAAGTAAAATGAAAGATTTTTATAGAGAGGGAGCTTTGGCATGTGAATGTGAACTGTGTTTAAAATAATTTATAGAATGTTTCTGGACAGAATCTTAGAGTTTTGATTCAGGGTAAATGTATATGCGCTTTTGAACTCAGATGTGATAAATTACTGTATTTTCCCCTTTGTGCTGAACATTCTTTGGTCATTTTTCTCAGTGATTTTTAAAAAATTATTCATAGGTCCTATGGCCGGGCTCCAAAAATGATTCACCTGGAATCCAGCTTTGTTCAATTCAAAGAGGAGCTGCTGCCCAAAGAAGGAAACAAAGCCCTACTTACCTTCCCCTTCCTCCACATTTATTGGACAGAATGCTGCGTAAGTATCTGTTCAGGCAGACCGCGGTGAGATGCTCTGGCCTAGGCTCAGGAATCCACGGGCTGAGCTTTTGCTAAGATTATTTTTCAGATTGACTTGTTAATGTCCTCTGTAGTTTGGTGCTCTTCTCTCCATCCTCAGCCAAGTGTCTGCCTACATCGCTGTGTGTTTCTGCTCTGGCCAGAGCAGCACACTGTAGTGATCACCAAATCCGGTCTTACTTCCTGTGTACCACCGCCCTGTGCCCCACTGGGCACGGCTCAGACTGACTTCCAGCTCCATTATCAGGCCCTGCACTCACCATCTTGGCAGTCACTTTACTTGCTGGGCCTGTGTGTGTCTCGTTGGGGTGCAGGCACTCTGCGGGCCTCTGCGTACTCCTCTCCTTCCAGCGCCCCACAGGTGACGCTGTGGCCATCGCAGCTGCAGCCTGTGCTTGACTGACCCAGAAATAAATGTTTCATTCTTGACTGAGTTTTCTGTCATGAACTAATAGAATTGGGTGGGTCATTTTTTCTTGTCTATTTTGACCCTTATAAAACAAGCATTTAGCAACAGACAAAATACATAAATCATTACATTTTAACCTAAATCTGAGGGTGCCTACACCGCCTTTTGTCATTTTAATGAGGAAGGACTCAAGACTTCTGCTTTCCCCTCAGGCACCTTGGCCCCTGCTGGCCTCGCTTTCTAGCCTTTCCCTGAGTTGTGCAGAGTGGTGGCACCTGCTCCCCAGTGATGAGTGACCACACCAATGAGATGTTCCGGGACACTTGCACGTTAGAGGCTCAGTGCCCAGGGTTTTCACTGTGGACAATAACGTAGGCAGCCTCTGCCTGCCCAAGTTCTCAGCTCCCAGAGGGAGAGGAGGTGTTGGCACAAGCCATGCTGTTTGTGCAGACAGTCCAGCCCAGTGAGGCCTCCCTTTACACCGTGCTGGGAAACCCCCCACAGTGCACATTCCCGGCATCAGCCGAGGGCCAGGCTGGCTAAAGGGGGCCGTCCCAGCCCTGCTGCACCACGTTGTGCACCCCCAGCCCCTCAGTGGTAATGTCAGAGTTGACCTGGTGGAGGAGGAGCTGTCTGGTGTATCCTGCTGTAGCTCTGATTTCCCCCTTGTGGCCCTGAAGCATCCCTGGGGAGCCACTTTAAGACCATGTGCGGATCCTGCTCCTAACCCAGCTTTCCCACTTGGATTCCCACTGAGTGATGGTTCTTCCTAAACCACCAGTCTTTTCTAGGGGTTGCAGACTCCACTCCCCACAGTTTGAAAGCCAGTGCTTCACTCTTGGGAAGAGCCTGCAGGGGTTTCTGTTCTATTGTGTTACAGTCAGTCATCCTTATTTACTGTGATGCTCAGATTGTCCCAGATTGGTCAGGGAGAGTCCAAATTGGCTCCTGTATCCTGTAGAGCATTCCCTAACTTCTGGCATAACAAGATATTCTAGGCTCTTGTACCTTTGCTAATCTTGTCCTGGAGCTGGTCATGTCCGTACTGAGCCCGGTTCCTGTGGCGCTGTGGGGTGTCTCTGCTCTGCGCCCTTGTGGTAGGCAGCTGGAAAGCATGAGTCGATACTGGTGCCTCGGATGTCAGCCCAGCCCCACAGGCCTTTGTTGCCTTACCCACCCACATTTCCATCTTCCGGGCTCTGGACAGCAGAGCGGGAACTTGTTTGCTCAGACGCACAACCGCATGAACTGGTCTCAGTTGCCAGCCCCTGCTGCACCTGGAGCCGACCCTGCTGCTGAGAAGAGTTCCTTTGTCTGCTGCTCGCACATTTCCCAGAGGGCAGTGTGCACTTGTCCTGGGGCTGGGTGGGCTCGCCCTCCCTCAGTATGCATCCTTTTCCACGTTTTCCTAGTTGCTTGTGCATGTTTATCTTTCCATACGAACTTTGGCATCAGATTAGCAAATTACCACATGCAGATGTAGCGTCCTGAGGTTGAGCTGTGCTAGCCCCAAACAAGGTGCGGCTTTCCATGTGTACATGTGGCCTTGGTGTCTTAGAAGTGTTTATACTTTTCTGCATTCTAGATTTTAAACGTTTCCTGTTCAATTTATTTTTAAGTGTTGTACTCTTTCGTTGCTATTGTAAATGGCGTTTTCTCCCCCATTGTATCTTCCAATTGGTTGTATGTGAAAACTGTTGGTTTTTTCAGGTTAACCTTGCTGAATTCTCTTACTGTTTGCGTTGGCATTATCACTGATTCACTGGGCCCTAAAGTCTAGGCTTTCCGGACATCCTGTCATGTCATCCGCAAACAGAGATAGTCTTTCCTCTTCTTTCCATTTCTTGTACCTCAGATTGTTTTCTCTGTTCTAGGATATTGTTAAATCATCGTGGAGCCAGTGGGCCCCTATGCCCTGTCCTGACCTTCATGGGGATGTCTGTGGTGTCCCTTTATTAAGTAGGATGCTAGCAATAGGGTTGAGGTGCACTTATGTGCACACGTTGGGGGAGTTCCAACCACTTCTGTTTTCTCAAGGGGTTTTATTAAGAGTACATTGTCGAATTTTGTTGAAGTCTTTTTCACACTCAGTGGAGATAATCATTTTTTTCTGATTAGATCTAATATGTGGAATTATGTTAACGAGTTTCTTGTTACTGAACCATGCTTGCTTTCCCCATATATATCCCCCTTGGTCAAATTACTGTTTTCTTAATGTGGTCTTAGAATCTGTTCACTTTATTTAGAATTTTTTGCATCTGTATTCACAAGTGATTGGTCTGTTATTTTTCTGTGCTGTCTTTATCAGGTTTAGGTGTCAGTATACACTTGATTCATCAAAAGGATTTAGAAGTTTCGCTTATTTTCTATTTCTCAAAAAATTTATATAGCACTGGAACTGACTGATCTCTGAGATTTGACAGAATTCTGCGGGGAAACCATCTGGGTTTGGAACTTGTGGGTTAGTTTCTTGATCACGTTCTGTATCTCTTCTATGGAAACTGGTCTGTTTCAGCCATTTGTCAATTTTGATAAGTGGTATTTTTTTTAGAAATTATGCATTTCAGTTAAGTTTTAAAATTTATTTTCATTGAGGTGTTTGAAGTAATCTTTTAAAAATACAATTATATGCTCAATGTCCGTAGTTATTTCCCCATTATTTTATTTTATTTTTTTTGTATACTTGTATTTTCCCCCTTTTTTCTTGGATTAAATTGTCTGGTCTTTCTCCCCAGACAACCAGGATTTTTATGTATTGACCTGATAAACTATTACTCTGTTTTCTACTTCTTTAATTTCTGCTTTTGTTTTTGTTTCTTTCCTTTTGTTTCCTTATGGTTTGCTTTGTTCTTTTTCTAGTTTTTTGAGTTGGGAGTACATTTATTTTCATTCTTAAGTTTTTGTTGCTACAGTTTTTAAAGATAGGAATTCAGATATCCCAGTGTTATATCATTATTTTTCAGAAATTGTCTATTTTCTATTTGTATTGCCCCTTCCACCCAGTAGTTTAAGAGAAAGGTTTTTAATTTCTAGAAAGAAATCTTATAAAATTTTCATTTTAAAATTTCTAAATCTTACTGCATTGCAGTGTTTGAATAGATAACCAATAATATTTTTGCTTAATGAAACGTATTTTGTCTCTGTGACCAAATAATCAGGTTTTTGGCTGCTCCCACATGTGTTAGAATGTATTTTCTCTGTTTTCATATTGTGATGTTAAATGTGGATCCACAAGAGCTGTCTTATTATGTTGTTTTTGTATTTACTGTTTTGTCCACCTGACCTATCTTTGATAGTGGTGTGTGGAAGTCTTCTATTATTGGTGTGTTTCTGTTTCTCTTGCATCTTCTGTAGTTTCTGTTTTGTATGGGTGGTTGTGATGTGTTATTTAGTGTATAGACCATTATAATTTTTATGGAGTGGAATATGTCATTAAAAAAATGGTTTCTGATTTTAGGAAGGCCTTGTCTATCTGAAGATAAGAACTGATTTTCTCCTGTGTTTTCTAATAATTTTATAATTTATGTTTTATACTTGGATCTGTTACAGCTTCAAATTATTTTTGTGTATGGTAGGAACTGTGGGGGTTCAGGGTTGAATTTTAGTCTTAAGTGGGTAGTGTATTGGCCTAACATTGCATAATCATCTGTCTTTTCCCCACTTACTGAAAATGTCACCTATATTTGAAACTATCGTTCTGTATGTACAGTAGTCTAGATACTTCACTTCTGTTCATCATTTTCTATTCTGTGCCAGGACCAAACTTTTAATTATTACATTTTTATTATATGTATTGGTACCTGTTCTTTTAAAAACAGACCTCTTGGCTAGTATACATTTTCTCTTCCATAAATTTCAGGATCAGATTATTGGTTGTACAAATTTTATTTTCCTAAAACTGCTGTTACCAGTAAATTCCATACCCTATGCTCTTCTCTACATGGCAGTGACATTTTTCCATTGGGAGGCTGGGTTTTTGTTTCCTCTATTTGAATCTGGGTGGGCTTTCTCACTGGCAGAAGGGATACTGTGACTTTTGAGACCAAGTCATAAAAGGTAATATATCTTCTGCCAGGTCCTCTTGGGGTGCCTGCTCTTAGAGCTCAGCCACCATTCTGGGAGGCAGTCACATGCCCCCTGGGAGGCCCTCTGGAGGTGTGCAGCCTGCATCCCACCAGTAGACCTGCGACTGCTCTCTTGCCTCCAGGCTTCAAGCCCACAGCCAAGCTCCACACCAGGAGGGGCGGAGGGGCCGCCCACCAAATCTTCTCTAGGTTGTAAGTTTGCGAGCAGGGTAATGTTCTGCGCTGCTGCAGGTAGTGGTTTGTTAACAGAGCAATAGAGAGCTGGAACAGCTCTGGAGAGAAGATGAAAGGAAAAATGAGGGGTGTGTTGATTGGGATTGCCTTGAATTACTTAGAGATTCATTTGAGGATAATTTGAATAATCATGGATCTTCTCTTCTGGGAACATGGTTTCTCCATACTTTATTCTTTTTTAATGGCTTTTAGTAGTGTGTCATGATGCTCTCTATCAAAGTCTGGTATTTTGATTGTTTTAAACAACTTCTGTGGACATTATAAATGGAGTTTTTTTCCTTAAAATGATACTTTATAATAGGGAACCTGTGGGTTATGTTGTTTTTTCAGATTTTATGTTGCTTCATTTTTTGATTATCTATTAAGTAAAGTTTGCTAGAGCAAGTTGATGTTTAGGAGTTTAGATTTAAAAATAAAACTCTGCTGTGTTATTTCAGTAGTTGCTGTAGGGTGTCCTTATATTACCTCCCCCCTTTAGGTCATACTGTGCCAGCAGACACGTAGTATAGGAACTTCACAGTACTGTGCCTCTTATTTCCTGGTTGGGGGGTGTGCATCTTAATTTAATCATATGTGTGTTATTGCCTCCACAGAACATTATTATGTTTTCTTAAGCAGTCAATTTTGTTTTAAAGAAACTAAACATAAGAAAATATGTTAGCTTTTGTATAGCTGTGAAAGTCTTTTTTTGCCTTTATTTTTGGAAAATATTTCATTGGATATGGAACTCATTTGACAGTTCTTTGTTCCCATTCAGCTCTTAAAAGATGTTGCTCCACTGCTTTTGGTTTCCAGTGTACCCAGGAGAAATCTTTCATTTTTGTCTTTGTTACTTTGTACATGAAGTGCCTCTTTTTCCTTTGGTGTTTTAATATTTTTTTCTTTATCACTGATTTTAGAGAGTTTAGTGATAGTATGCCTTGGTGTAGTTTTCTTCATGTTTTTAGTGCTTGGGATTTTGGGGGCTTTTGGATTTATAATTTTTATCAAATTTGGAACATTTTTGGTCATTATTTCTTCAAATATTTTTTCCATTTCTCCCTCTCTCCTCTCCACCGGGGATGCCAGGTACTTTTGAATCAGGCCACTTTCAGTCCCACTGCTCATAGATGCTTTGTTGATGTTTTATTAGTGTTTTTCTCTCTATTTTATTTGGATAATTTCTGTTCCTGTGTTTTCCAGTTAACTAATTGTTTCTTCTGCAGTGTCTAATCCTCTCTTAATCCCACCCAGTGTATTTTTCAGTTTAAACATTGCAGTTTTCATCTCTAGCAGTGCCATGTGGGTCTTTTCCTTCTTTTAAATGTCTTCCCTGTCTCTGCCAAACATCAGTCTTCCTTTTGTCTTCTTGAACACATGAAATCTGGTTAGAATAACTATTTTAATGGCTTTGTCTACTGATACTGTTACCTATGTCATTACTGAGTCTTTCTATTGATTGATTTTTCTCTTATTATGGGTCATACAGTCTTACTTGCTTATTTGGCAGTTTTTTATTGGATGCTAGATACTGTGAATTTTTTCTTATTTAGTGCTGGCATTTTTCAATCAGAAATTTTCTTGAGCTTTGTTTAGTTATTTATTAAAGTTGATCCTTTTAGGTATTGCTTTTATGAATTGGTGGGTCTGGAACAGTGACCAGTCTAGGATGAATTATTCCTTATTTTCTGCATTCTCCACCCACTGTCCTGAGAATTGGGAGGTTTTCCAGTCTGGCCTGTGAGAATAGGCCCTGTTCTTGGCCCTGTGTGGGTATGTGGGCCATCTCATGGGTCTCTTCCTGGCTGTGGGTGGTTCCTGCAGACGTGTGCTGATCAGTATCCTGTTGGTATTCAGGGACCGTCTGCAGACCTCCAGGTTCTCTGTGTGCTGCTTCCTCCTTTCTGGTGCTCTCACCTCCTAGGCATCAGCTGCCTCCGTCTCCGGGCCACTGGCTCTGTCTCCTTCATGCAGAGAGTCTGCCAGGCTCTGCATCAGTCCCCTCCTGTGCCATGGTCCGGGAGCTCTGCTAGCAGGCAGCTGGGCCACTTGCAGGGCCCACTTTGCTTGGCTTCCCTGAGGTCATTGTCGTTTGTTACCTGATAATTGGGGCCTTGGAAGGCCTTGATTTGGGGGATTTTTTGGTTTGTTTGTTTTTGTTGTTTCAGGCAGTTGTCCCTGTCTGGTCCCTGTCATGTCCTCTTGTCTGAAAACAATAGTCCCATTTGGTGATTGATATCAGCATGCTGTCATTGATTCAACTTGTATCATTAGTGATTTTAATGTGCCACTTGTCCCAGATTTGGGCTTCTGTGACCCTTTGAAACATGCTCATTATTTGAGCCTCTCTTACACAGGATTTTCCAGGGTCACCCTGTCCTTTCTCTGCCTGAGCCCTGGGGTCAGCTGCTTCTCCAAGGAGCCCCAGTTCATTTTAGTAGAAAATGGTATTAAAAACCAGGATCTGGAGCTTGATGTGCTTTTTGCTGTTGAGCCCTGTCCATGGGCATGGCTAGGCGGCGTGTGGGTGTCCCTCACCGGTATTACTTCTGTATGTAGTGGCATGTGCCTGCACATGCCTGTGTGCATGCCCACACTCCGATGGCATCCTGGACCACAGCATCAGTCCTGGTCTCCCTTCCACATGTTTTGCTGCCTTCATGCCTGTGTTGCGGCCAGATGCTCATTCTCCTCTGTTTCTCATTTGAATCATCACTGTGCGCTCTCCTGCCCCTGCCTCCCTGCTCTGGGGCTGTCGCTCTGCATTGGATCATGCCCCTCGCCTCCTCACCTGATCCATAGCACCCTGGATATGGGTACCCTGCAGGGAGACTCTGCCCTGCATGGCCTCTGACATGCTGGGCCAACACCCCGTCTGCCGTCATCTCACAGGGGCCTGTCTCATGCTGTGGTGCCCAGAGAAGCCGCTCCCCTCAAGTGCCCTCCTTACCCCCATCATGGGCACATGCCTCCCCACCCCCCTGCTAATGGGGTTTTCTTGTACTACTTTGTTTTCTTGAGAGAACCTTGCCCTCTTGGGCTTGGTTTGGGCTCCTCTTCTGAAGAGCCCCCGAGTCTGTTGGGTGAGGTTTGCTGCTTGTGTGCTGACTCGGGATGGGCGGATCACGTGCCCCAGTTTTCCCCTGAATTTAGGGGAATGCTGCCCTGCCTGCTGCTACCCCAGGCCTTTTCCTGACTCCCTGCAAACTGCCCAGAATGTCCCAAGAGAGGGCAGTAGTGTCCACTGGGGTGCAGCAGCCCTTCCCTGGTGAGGATCGCTGTGAGCCAGGACTGCCTGGGGCTGCCAGGGCTGGGGCCGGTGAGGGCACTGTGGCCAGCCTTCCAGCTCCTCTCCGACCCTTGCTGCCCCTCTTATTCCGTGACCCAGCGGGGCCGTGTGATTTGTGTCTGCTCTCTGATTTTAAGAGATCCCCTGGTGGGGACTGTGGCTTTCAGCCCCCTGGCCTTTCCAGACATGTCACTTCCCAGACATGATGCATCTGGGCTTCTGGCGTTCTAACGAATGCCAGCATTGAAAAATCTATGCTTCAGCCCTGGAAGTTGCTATCTTGTGAAAACTATGCAGTGTAAGAGTATCTTCATGTTGAATAGTGATTTACAGAAAGTTGATGTTTGCAGGCCGGTATTCCTCTGAATTTTTCAGCAAAATATCTTTTTAGATTGTATTTATTTTTAGTTTAAACCAAGGCCATAGCAGTTTTAAAAATCAGGCCAAAACATAAAAATACTGCCTTTTGGAACTTTTCACTTAATAAGTGGATGCAGAATTTGAGATCTGTCTCATTCATGGGTCAGTCATATTTGCAGATGTCTGCGTGAGTGTTGAGAGACTCAAAAGTCTGAGAAAATACAGGCAAGGTGATAAGGAATCTGTCAGAAGACAGGAAAGCATATATTTGAACAGTGGCTACTGATCAAAGTTTGCACAGGCTTTTAAATGCCTGAATTGGGAATGAATCAAGCATTCTGGTGTTAGATGCCCTCTCTGAAGCTGCTGAGTGGCCTTAGGGCACGAGGGCAGGCAGAAGCAGTCTCCAGTAGAGATCACCAAGGCGCATCTCTGTGTCCTCACTTCTGTGGGGGTGCGCTGAGGCCGGCCTGGGTGTCGTGCCGGTGCGGTGGTCTGGCAGGCTGCTGCCAGCCCTCTGGGTTGGAGCGACACCGACAGGGAGGGCCTACCTTGGGAGTCAGAACAGCTTCCAGGAAGCCCTTGGTGGTGCTCTCGCTGAGTTTCGCATCTGAAGCCGCCTTGCCTTGCCGGCCTGTTGCAGCAGTTGCGGGGGCTCCCGTGGCAGCAGCCAGCCTGCCGAGGGAGGAGCTGCTCTCCGTCCCCCAGCAGCTGGGCCCACAGCCCTCACGGTGGGGCTATTGTGGTCCTTGGGCACAGGGCCTTCGGTGTCGCGGTCCTGGATTTTAAAGTTCCAGCATGCCCAGCAGACTGTTGCCGCGGGCCCCTTGCCGAGCTCTCCCAGAGCCTCCCTCTGTGCTGTGGGAACCGCCTTCCCTGCGCCTGCCCAGAGCGCTGCTGGCTCCGGTCTGCCGGAGCTGGCCGCTGCATGGGGCGGTCCCTCCCGAAGCTGTAAAGCACTGGGGCCCGCGTACTCTCTGTTGTTAGACACATTTTGCCATTTAAACTAAGGGGCATTGATAAACTCGCCTTCACAGTGACTTATTTATTTTTAGGATACTGAAGTGTATAAAGCTACGGTAAAAGACGACCTTACCAAGTGGCAGAATGTTCTGAAAGCCCATAGCTCTGTGGACTGGTTAATAGTGGTAGTTGAAAATGATGCCAAGAAAAAAAACAAAACCAACATCCTTCCCCGAACTTCTATTGTGGACAAAATAAGAAATGATTTTTGTAATAAACAGAGTGACAGGTAAGTGTATCTTTAATTTTACCTCATTGGGCTGATATCCTGGGCGGTGACCCTCGTGTACCCACCCAGTGAACGGCTGTGCTGTGCTGGCAGGTGCCTGTGATAAGTGCTGGAGGGCGACGGCGCCCTCCCCAGGGGCTTCCTGGTCTGGCAGTGTGGGACTAAACCGCAGGCCCCAGGGCGCTGCCTAGGTGGAGCGGGTCCTGTGGCCCAGTGACTGTGGGGGAGTCCAACAGTAGCTTCCCTCTGATGGTGGACGAAGTTCTGAGCATAGCAGGGGCTTCCAGAGGCCTTGTAGTCTTTGTGCACAGTAGGATCCCCTAAATGCTTTCAGCTGTGGGACCCTGTGTTTTCTTAACACCCATTTAGAGTTCCCGTCCGATGCTCTTCCAGAAACTTGAAAAGGGAGCCCTAAAACTTTGTGCCTACTTTTTTGCATGGGCTTACTTCCCCTTGCTTCTCCCTGTCTGGGCCCCGTTCTGTCTGCTGGGGGAGCTTGCTTCTGTTTCCTCAGGGAGGCCATTCCTACCTGTGCCAGCCAGCATTTCCCTTCTGCTCTGGGTTCAGTCTGTCCTTAATCCTGGTAGTCATGGTGAGCCTGCCTGCTGTGCCACAGCGCCGCCAAGTGGCAGAGACAGGTGTTACCTCACACCCAGGTCATCCTCTCACACCCGCCTCCGTGCCTGGCTGGTGCTCAGACAGTGTCCAGGGTGGGCCCACAGCCTGGAGCAGGGGAGTGGGTCTGCCCTGGGGACTAAGGGCAGAAATCCTGGGTGTGTGGCCAGGTGTACCCATCAGACACTGCCATGTGGCTCTTCTGTGACCACGTCCTGTGTCGGGCCCCCAGGGAGCTGACAGTCCTCCAGGGGAAGGAGCCGTGGTGTGGGCTTCCTGTTTATGTTCTGCACGATACTGGCCATACACCAGTGTTCAAACTTGCTCTATTTATAGTCTGAATTAAATATTAGATTGTTGAGCTTATGGTTTGTCTGAGAGAAATTTCACGCAATCTGGACTTGTGGGAATTTTTCTTAAGGTCTGTTCTTCATGAATTGGCTATCCAGAGGATTCAGCTTAACATCTGAACGGGGTGCCCCAGACCTAGTGTCCTTTCTCTCTGGGATTCAGGCACACAGACGTGTCTGTTCTGAGAGCAGAGGGAGGTGGGCCTGGAGGGGAAAGAGCTCTGCCTCACCCCTGCAGGAGGGCTGCCCAGGGTGTTGGACAGAGAGCAGGGCTGACCTCAGACCATAGGGCCTCTGAGTGGTTTTTAATACAAGAAGAAGAAATCGTATTTGGGATTTAGTAAGTAAATAAATTGGTACTATTTACTTACTAATGAAGTGTATTAGTTAGAACTTGTGGTATGTTTGTGTAATACTTTTTTTCAAAAAGCCTATTGATACTTTTAAGTCTACATTATAATTTTTATATAATTGCCAAAAGTTTGTTTGTGCTGAGCTCATTTCAAATTAACTTATTTTTAATGATTATTCTTTATATGTAAAATTCAATTTACTAAAATTTTTAACATTTCATCTTTGATATTTAAACATGCCTTCCAACAATGATGATTTTCATCAGTTTGCAAAACTGCCTTTAACAAACCTGTACTTAATTTTTTTAATGTAAAAAACTGGGTCAGAGTTTCATAAATTTGAATTTAGTAACATCTATATTGACAATTATCTTATTAGACAATATAATTTCTGGTCTTTGGAAATACTGGAACACTTGGCCCTGGAGTGGCTTCTGATTTTTTTTTAACTTTAATCTTATATTTGGTTTTTGATTATAAATATTACATGTCATTATAGAATTATTAGAAAAGGTAATTTAGGATGTATCTTCCAGACTTCTCCTTCTGCACATGTAAGTGTGTGTGATATGTCATGCAGGTTATGTACTTGCTTTTTTCACTTAGCACATTGTAATATGTTTCCATGAACGTAAGTGTATTTCTACACCCTTGTTGTTAGCATGTTATATTCCATAGTATTGATATGCTCTAAGTTACTGATATAGTCCTCTGCTGAGCTTGTAAGCCATTGCTTACTCAAAGTGCTGTAAGTTGCTGCTTTACTTAAACAACAATGCTGTAGCCATCCTAGCTCAAGATGTCATGTGCATCCTTAGTCATTTCCTGAGGATACAGCCCTAAGAAGAGAATGGCTCAGTCAGGGGTTTTTGCCTTGTCAGGCTTTGGGAAGGCATCGTGGGGTCAGGGCGGTCTTCCTAGCATCCATGCCGGCAGCAGTCCCAGCAACCAGCAGAGTCCCAGCCCGGAGCTGCTTGCCACACATGCCGCCTCTGTGGGCAGCTGCTGGGTGGCTGTGCCACCCGTGGTCTGGAGGCTCTGCAGTTCTGCACCCCAGGCTTGATGAGCTGTCTGGGGCTCTCCCTTTCTGAGTTAACCATCTAGGTTTGAAGTGAATTTCTGAAGCGTAGTTCTTTTTTACATACATATAAAAAAAGATCTAGAAACAGAAAAATTGAAGGTCGTAATAAAGGATAGAGAATATGATGAATATATTATCTGATTGATAAGCACCAGGTATCTAGAAGAAAATACTGTTTGGTGGCCAGTGTTTGTGTCATCTATCCCTGTATGTATAGGGGACATTTCCGTGTTTGGTCAGGAATAAATGTTGAGAATGCCTTACGGATAAACTCCTGAACTGATAGATTCTAGCAGCTCATAGAGTGAATAAATACATGTTAGTCCTGCGGGGGCCTTAGCAGTGAGCTGGCTGGACCCCCGTGTCTTTCAGGGGAAGACAGAGTGCCCAGTGGAGTGGAATTAAAGCCGGCTCCCAATTATTATCAAGGATGAAGAAAGTTACCTTTCCAACCTGTTGGGTGAATACATTGCCTTTTCCAAATTCATTGGAAACTCTTGTAATTTTATGTCTTTGATATTTTTACCCCATGGTTACAGTCTTTGATAGTGAAATTGTGTCATACCTGCATGTTAAGCCATACTCTTCTAAGTTTTCATTATTAATTGTTTTTTAACCTGCTGTTGAATTGCTCATGGTCTGTGGGAGAGACAGAGCTATAATGAAAATGTGTACAGTGTGGCTCTTACTGCCATTGTAGTGTGATTACAGCTGGGGTTGTGAGGACAGAGCAGCCGGGGGAGTAGCAGGAGGTTCAGTGAGGATGTGCAGCGGAGCCAGGTTCTGCAGGGCCAGTAGGAGTGCACTGGGTAAAGGGGAGAGCATGAGTTCAGGGGGCCGGGCAGGGAGTAGTAAGGATCAAAGCTAGACAGCCAGGCTGGGCCTGGGTGATGGTCTTCTTCTGCTGACCATACCCAGAGCCCTGCATCGTAGCCTGTCCCTTTCAGAGAACCAAAAGGTTTTAGCGGGGGCAAAGGGAATGAGGCCTGGGAACTGAGTGTGACCTGATGCCCCTCTTTCAGAGAACCCTGGGGGCAGACTCATCATGGGTCCTGGCATAGCACTTGCTGCTCATGTGACACTGAGCCAGTGTGTGATGAAACCTCTCGTCTCATTTCCCACTGCCGGCCTAATGTTTCCGCCAGTTCAAGAAGGAGGAAGGAAGGGAAGAGGGGAAATGGCTTTGCATCCCAGGGAACGGTAGCAACTGCGCCGTGGTGCTGGGCTTAGAGGCTCTTTTCCACATGGTCCATTCTTATCTCTGCAGGTGTGTCGTGCTCTCTGACCCTTTGAAGGACTCTTCTCGAACTCAGGAATCCTGGAATGCCTTCCTGACCAAACTCAGGACATTGCTTCTTATGTCTTTTACCAAAAACTTAGGCAAGTTTGAAGACGACATGCGAACCTTGAGGGAGAAGAGGACTGAGCCAGGGTGGAGCTTCTGTGAATATTTCATGGTTCAGGTACTTGACTAACTGCAGGTCTACACCGTTTCCTTCTCTCCCTCCCTTTCTCGTCCTTTCTTTCTAAATCAGGCAGCATTCTTGTGGTAATTCTTACTGGCACAGGTTTCAATACCAAGAGACAGCTTGTAGCTAACGGATGTCTCAGTCTCTTGGCTTATCAAGCAGAGAATCCGAGATGGTCTCCTGAGTGCTCCAGCTGCTTCAGAGTTTGGCATCTAGCCTTTGATGAGGTGGTCTTGTTCTCAGGGTAGTCTTGGTTTTGTTAGCATTTCGGGCCTTCTGGGTGTGCACCGTGGCAAGGACACAGGCTGAGGAGCAGTGTGCTGCTGACGGCCCTGCGGTAACAGTGCCCACTAGCCTGCGTGGTGCTGGGATCACACTGACATCCTGGGAACATTTATTTTGTTGCATCATCTTGGGTCCCAATAAAAGACAGTCTTAGGCTAGTTTCTTTACTGTAGTTTACAAAGGTATTCGGTTTTGAAAATGGTGTCTGTGATCAGCTTTGTCTTGGGTTTAAGAAGAGCCTTACATGAACAAGGGACACATATGCATCAGTTCAGGGGAGAGGAGAGCTTCCTGAGGCTGCAGAGTGGAAAGAATGGTGCTGTGAGGGCTCCTGTTCCTGTTCACCATATTTGACTGATAAAGCGTGATTTCCATATTTAAATACCTCTTGTGTAAATTACTGAAGAAATAAGGCACATTGAACAATGAAAGACCAGTTCTGATTGGAAACTGATGCTTTTGTTTCTCTGATGCTTACGTCCTGGTGGTATTTGGGTAATTTGATACCTGTAGGGGAGTCTTAATGTCCCTAGTTCCCCATATGACTGAGCTGTTAGAGGCCTTTCAGAAAGCCCTGTCTCCTCACCCTTCAAGCTTATTAAACTTACTTTCTTAGTTACAGACAAGGAAAGGGTGAGTCTAAGTGAATCCAGTGGTTGGAATGGAATCCGAGGTGTTAATGTGAACTGATGGCTGGATGAATGGATGGGTGGGAGGAAGGAAGGGCGTCAGGTGTACTTGGGTATGAGGCTTGGCACACATACAGAAACCAGCTTGCTCTATCCTCTCCTCTGATGGGGCCTAGAGAAATTGGCCCCTCAGGAGCAGTGAGCACACCCAGTGCCATGATGTTCGTTTCTAGACTTTATTCTCCAGTGAACGGTGCCAGGGCTCCTGGAGAAGTGGTTGGGGGCAGGGAAGATGTAAGATGGGCCTGGAATATCTTGTAGAGCCAAAAAATAAGGAAGAGCACAAAAAAAGATGGGGCTCCATCAAAGGAACGTAAGTAAGCACCACCTAAAGGAGCTTCCTACTGGCCAAATGTGGAGCATTTGTGCAATGAAATGAGTGATGAGTTGGATTTGAACACATGGGAGAAAGTTACTATCCATGAGTCTACATAGATGTAAACAAGCAGTTGGTTAACTAAACAGGGGAGAAGCTTTGGCTCTTCCATAGAGAAGAATTCAGTTAAAAACTAGGTGTCTGGGATGGCAAGGGAAATGCCAAGGACAGGACAGCGGCTGGTTGTGCCTGTGCTGTCAGTGGGCCGTGGAGGGTTTTCTGGACGCCATGTGGGCCTTGTCCTGCTCCATTCTGGCCTCCCCTCTGCATGCATCACAAGTGGGGACTGTTATGGCCATTAAGTTGACTTCTACTTAGCATGGCTTAGGGTCTGTAATGCTGCATGCTTTTTCCCTGTTGTAATCTTTAAGAGAGAGATATTGTTTCAAAAGGTGACTTATGTTTTTGCTTTTTTAAAACCTTTTTTTGGGTACATAGGAAGAGCTTGCCTTTGTGTTTGAGATGCTGCAGCAGTTTGAAGATGCCCTGGTGCAGTATGATGAGCTGGACGCCCTGTTTTCTCAGTATGTTGTCAACTTCGGCGCTGGGGGTGAGTAGCCCAGTTTTGCAGGCAGACTTGTTTCTTAGCGTAGTGGCCCTGCCTTTTAAGTAGTCTGGAAGCTGCCATTATTTACCAGGTGATCAAATCATCTCCGGTTGTTTGTGTCCAAATCACATCCGATATATTCTCATGTTCTACTTGGAAATGAAATGAGAATCAAGAAATGATCATAAAAATAAAAAAAAAAAAAAAGAAGTAGGCATTTTGATTTTAGAAGACTCTGAAGGAATAAAAACGTTTTAAGCTGTTTTTCAGGTATAAAGTCATTTCTACAGCTAAGAGCTGGCTGGTGATTCTGCACCTCCTTGCCAGCATAAGAGTCGGGAGCTTTGACTTCTGTTGAGAGGTCTTTGGAATATTGGGGTGCTCATTGCAGTTTTATACGACACCATTGTAATGTAACAGTGGGTGTTTATCTGTCTTAAACTTTGGAGCAATATCTGAAATTCTTTTCAAAGTACAGACATGCACAGTGAGGCCAGGTACAAAGAAAAAAGCTTACAGTCATCCCCACTGTGTTGTTTTGTATCCATTTTGATAGAAATGGCATCATGTGATATAGACAGTATCTGAAACTTCTTGTTCTTATTAGCAGCCTGTCACAGGCACTGCACAAGCCCACAGGTGAGTCTGCAGAGTGGGTCAGCTGGCGCTCACTCAGTCATCTGTGGGTGTGGATGGCTGTGTCGTCTCTGCCCCTGCCCCACAGCTGGCGCTGTGAGAGCGGCTCTGTTCAGGGCTCTTTCCCAGGGAACCCTTGTCCCAGTGTCTGAAGCAGGAAGTGATTTAAAGGGACCAGAGAGTTTGCTGGAAGACCTGTGGGCAGGTGAGGTGCGGGGACAGCTGGCTTGAGCCCTGGGCACCGTCTTGGTCTGGAAGTGACAATGAGATGCCACTGATGGGCTCCCACTGTAGACCGGCTTTTACGGGGTTCAGTTTTTCCCTCTCCCCTTGCTAATAAGCTCCAGTTACAAACACAGGACCAAAGCCAAGTATTTACAGATGAAGTTTAAAAGTTCAGAAGAGGTGGATTTACATTTCTTACATTTTACATATCTACATTATACATGTCTTTTCAATATCTTAAACATATTTCTCACATTTCATATAATTTCTTTGTTCTTTCAGCTTTAAGGGAAATCTGGGGCAATTTAGAATCCAAAAGTAAACCTGGACTAAGTGTTGCCACTGAAGATAAGACTGTTCATTCTTGTTCATTCTTTTAGTAGGTACTTACTGAGATCCCAGTGTGTAGCAGGCACTGTTGTAAATATAGGAGAGAACATAAGCCCTTCCTCCCTTCCTGGAGCGTACATGAAGGGGAGCAGGCACAGGAGGGCGAATGTGCCTTAGCGGCAGGTGCAGGGCAGGCGTGGCGGCAGGTGCGGCCTGACTTTATTAGCTTGGACGGCAGCGGGGCTCTGGCAGGAGGGGGCATCGGCCCAGAGGTCCGAACAAGATGTGGGAGTGAGTGTGGAGAACCTGGGGTGGTCCCAGCGGAGGCACCTGCTGGTGTCAGAACTCCAGGGGTGTGCTGGGCGCCCTGCATGTCCAGTTCTAGTCAGTGCCAGATGCCGTTGGCGGTGCTGCACTTCCCATGTGCAGTAGTGTCCATATGCTGGTGTGGAGTGGCTTCCCGTGGGAATGTGGGATAAAATGCCATGGCACCTCTCTTCTGGAGTGAGAAAAAGAGATTAAAAGCTTTTTTTCATAGAGTAAAATATGGTATTGTAGATTCTTACATAAGATCATATTTGAAGGCAGTAAGTTAAAATGAGGGAGCCTCCTTGGAAAGCTGAGACAAGCAGTTTTCCCTCTGCTGTGCTGCCACATCTCTGCCCGCTGTCCTTCCCTCAAGGAGCGTGACCAGGCTGTCGGCAAGGCTGAGTTAGAGGCAGATGTGAGGTGTGAATAAGTAGGGGGAGGTGTGGAGGTGAGGAAAGACACAGAGACCAGCCTGGCCCCGTAAGGTGAGTGGCTGCTCTGCAGCACGTAGGCAGGCCCACGCCAGCACCCGCCCTCAGAGCTGCCTTCCTGCTGAGTCTCCCTGGTCCTAAGGCCTGCCTGTCTCTCATGGCCTCCCACCTGTTCCTGACCTGGGTGTGGTACAGCTGCGTACCCTGTGGCATTGGGCCTGTTACCTGCTCTTAGTGCCAAATGCTGAGTACTGAGTGGGTGTGCTGGGAGCAGCTACCCATCCCGGAGGTGAGCTGGGGTTAGGGAGTAACTAGTTGTCAAGCAGCCCATTGGCATACGAGGTTCCCATCCTGAGCCAGGTGAAGTGACCTATTGTCTACACCTTTCATGATGTGTGTTTTAGATGGTGCCAACTGGCTGACTTCCTTCTGCCAGCCGGTGAAGAGCTGGGACGGATTGATCCTCCGGAAGCCCATAGATATGGAGAAACGCGGCTTGATCCAGAGGCAGGAGGCTGCCCTCCTGGACCTGCGCAGCTACCTCTTCTCCCGCCAGTGCACGCTGCTCCTCTTCCTGCAGAGGCCTTGGGAGGTGGCCCAGCGCGCCCTGGAGCTGCTGCACGGCTGCGTGCAGGAGCTAAGGCTGCTGGAAGTGAGTCCTCTTCTTCCCCAAACGACCTGTTCCTCATTCAGACAGAAATCTCAGAGCCTCGAAGCCCCGGGCACGGAACTGTCTGTGCTCAGGAGTGTTCTTTTTCTGAACGTCCTTCATATTTAGTATGTTATTTGTATAGTTTACTCTCTACATTGATTAATTGCATGAAAACATAATTTCTGCGCTATGCAGGGTTGAATTCATGTTGGCCCAGAGGAAGACTCTTAGGTCAGTTTCTTAATACAATTTTTTAAGGTAACTTTGGCTTATTCTGTGGGAGTGGGTCTTCACTCATGAAGGTGACTCTCCTGATGGACACCCAGTATCAGGTTTTGTGGGTAGATGCCTGTTTCAGAACTGCCTTTTCATTTTGTGCATGAACATGCAGGTAACAAAGTGAGTGACACCCAGCAAACTGGGCGACATGAATTAGAAGCACCAGGTCAGAGGGAAGGGACATTGTCACTGTGTGTGTGGGAGAGAAACCAGCTGGTGAGGTTTTACACTGTTTATCTGAAGGGATAGACCTGCTGTGAAGGTCAGCCCCGGGCTCCTGCCCTCTGGTACTGCCCACAGACTCGCAGAGCTGTGGTGAGCGGGGGTCTTCAGTGACTGTCCTGTCTGGGGGTTCTCACCTTGTTTGTTTCATTGCATCTTTACCCAGAAAAATGCACACATGCACGTATAGCATGTTACGTGGAATTTCAGAGGATTTGTGGACATCCCACTCCACTCCCCAGTTAAGAACTAAGTGAGTGGTCCAATTCCATTTTACAGATGGGGAGAGGGGGCTTGTAGGAGGTTAGGGGACATACCCAGGAACACAGCCGGTCAGAGCCGGCAGAGCTGTGCTGGTCATGGCCCTTCGAATGGTGTCCCCCATACTAGTGCTCCTGGGGGCGAGTCACAGAGGCTGTAGTGTGTGATGGTGCTAGGCTGGCTAGACCATTGGCAGGGCTGCACCTTCACAGCATACTGACTGGTAGGTATACTGTACAATGCTACATAGCAGGCTCAACTCTTCTTAGGAGATTTAACCATGTTTTTTTTCCCAAAGGAAGAGAAATTGTTTTAGTTAATTTCTAAAGGGGAAATGTCTAGCCTAGCTGAGTCACAAACTCAAGAATTTAAGAGTTTTTATTAAGTTATTTTTCTTGCATTAGACATCTAATCAAGTGAATGAGGAAAAACAACATTTCCCACCTTGAAATGATACTCTTGGCCCCCTCTGAGGACTGGCTTGAGGCGCTCTGCCTTGCTGCCCTGCCTGGCTGTGAGGTGGCAGTTCCTTAATAGGACGGGGAGTCTGGGCACATGTGCTGGGGATTTTTACCTGGTGTGGGGATTTGTCGCCCTGTGGATTGAGGGAAGTGGGATGTGTGTGAGAGTGCACGCAGCTCACGTGGTACTTTGAGATCGGGGTCCAGGAGGGTTTGGTTGACCAGGAGGTGCTGTGCTGTTGCACAGTCCGGCCCAGCCCGTCAGAAAGATCAAGGTGTGAAGGATTTTCCTCCAGGCCTTTTCCTTGTCTTGCCGAGTTGCCTAGTCATAGCCTGGCTGCCTGCAGAAAGGATGGGGTGAGGCCTGGACCAGGGGAGGCTGCCTTGAGGGGCTGGTGAGGGGCCATTGGCTCTGCAGGGACAGAGCTGGGCCCCTGCAGCCACTCCTCCATCCCTCCTTCTCCAGGCATCCTGGAAGCTGGAAGGTGAGGGCCCAGTGGTGCTGCAGACAGTGGGGAAAGCATGGAAGGTGGGTCTGGGAGGCCAGCCAGGGGTGTTGGTACAGGGCAGGGGTGAGCTGCCTCTCCCTCTGAGGTCACCACACACTGGCGTCTTTGTCCACCCCGGGTTCCCTCCTCATTGCACGTGCCCAGACAGCACAGGTGGACTGCCCAGCCTTCCCCAGCTGTCATAGCTCGGCCACGATGGAAGCAGGTGGACTCAGGAGAGTTCCTACCCTTTGGCTAGAAAGAGAGGTGCGCACGTGCCAGGCGGCGGGCCTGGAGCTCCTGCACGGGCTGTGGCTCAGGGCTGCACGTTGGCTCTGTGCAGTTGGGAGGTTCTCACCCTCTGCTGCCGGCATCCCTAGAGGTTTCTTGAATGCTTTGTGGTGTTCATGCGCCTCACGTCCATTGTGGTCTTCTTCCTGGGCTCTTTTCTGGATAAAATGGTCCTGGACATCTTTATCTTCTCTGGAGTGGAGGCTTTCCCCACTTTTCACCATGTTTCCTGCATGTCTTTGCACTTTCCCAGTGCTGCTGGGTCCCTCTGGAATCACGCAGACCAAAGCTGAATGTGCGTTCATGGTGAGCCCATACCACTACCCTTTGCCTTCCCAGCCTCTCCTTCCTGACAGTCGGACTTCTCATCCCTACTCCTCCTTACGCCGCACACAGCTGGATGCTGTCTTGGGGCTGTGCTGGCACTTGGCATGCCCATTATGTCAGTGCAGTGATGAGGCGGCAGTGCCTCTTCTATCTGCTGGTGCTCATCAGACCCCTTCGTCCCTGGGCTGAGCCTGCACAGCCCTCCCAGGACCTTTGCCCCATGCGTGACCAGCCCAGGTATGGCACTGTCCCCATGCAGTGCCTCCCTGGTGGCTGCTTTTGCACTGCAAAAGCTTTCCCTCTCTTGTCCCAGCACTTTGATGCAGCCCTGGTCATCAGAAACTCTTCCTAAGGATTGGGTTTAGGAAAGACAGGTGGCCTAGAGCTAGGAGGGGGAGCCAGGCCATCTGCGTTCAGGTCCCACTCATCATCCCTTCCTCCAGGGACCTTGACCCTTTGACTTACCCTTGGACTCCGTTTTCCCATCTGTGAGATGGAGGCAGACCTGTGGCTGCCATTTGGGTGGCAAGCACCCATGCAGCACGTGTGTACAGGGAGCTCTGCCATGCTTAGAACACCAACAGCCCTTCCTGCAGGTTAGGTCTTAGCACCACCTTCCTCCTTATTAGCATCCTCTTGAACATTGTTTCACCGGACAGACTTCCTGTGAGCTTATCTTTAGTGTTTTCATAAGACCAGAGGTCATGTGAAAGGGATAGACCTGCTGTGAAGGTCAGCCCCGGGCTCCTGCCCTCTGGTACTGCCCACAGACTCGCAGAGCTGTGGTGAGCGGGGGTCTTCAGTGACTGTCCTGTCTGGGGGTTCTCACCTTGTTTGTTTCATTGCATCTTTACCCAGAAAAATGCACACATGCACGTATAGCATGTTACGTGGAATTTCAGAGGATTTGTGGACATCCCACTCCACTCCCCAGTTAAGAACTAAGTGAGTGGTCCAATTCCATTTTACAGATGGGGAGAGGGGGCTTGTAGGAGGTTAGGGGACATACCCAGGAACACAGCCGGTCAGAGCCGGCAGAGCTGTGCTGGTCATGGCCCTTCGAATGGTGTCCCCCATACTAGTGCTCCTGGGGGCGAGTCACAGAGGCTGTAGTGTGTGATGGTGCTAGGCTGGCTAGACCATTGGCAGGGCTGCACCTTCACAGCATACTGACTGGTAGGTATACTGTACAATGCTACATAGCAGGCTCAACTCTTCTTAGGAGATTTAACCATGTTTTTTTTCCCAAAGGAAGAGAAATTGTTTTAGTTAATTTCTAAAGGGGAAATGTCTAGCCTAGCTGAGTCACAAACTCAAGAATTTAAGAGTTTTTATTAAGTTATTTTTCTTGCATTAGACATCTAATCAAGTGAATGAGGAAAAACAACATTTCCCACCTTGAAATGATACTCTTGGCCCCCTCTGAGGACTGGCTTGAGGCGCTCTGCCTTGCTGCCCTGCCTGGCTGTGAGGTGGCAGTTCCTTAATAGGACGGGGAGTCTGGGCACATGTGCTGGGGATTTTTACCTGGTGTGGGGATTTGTCGCCCTGTGGATTGAGGGAAGTGGGATGTGTGTGAGAGTGCACGCAGCTCACGTGGTACTTTGAGATCGGGGTCCAGGAGGGTTTGGTTGACCAGGAGGTGCTGTGCTGTTGCACAGTCCGGCCCAGCCCGTCAGAAAGATCAAGGTGTGAAGGATTTTCCTCCAGGCCTTTTCCTTGTCTTGCCGAGTTGCCTAGTCATAGCCTGGCTGCCTGCAGAAAGGATGGGGTGAGGCCTGGACCAGGGGAGGCTGCCTTGAGGGGCTGGTGAGGGGCCATTGGCTCTGCAGGGACAGAGCTGGGCCCCTGCAGCCACTCCTCCATCCCTCCTTCTCCAGGCATCCTGGAAGCTGGAAGGTGAGGGCCCAGTGGTGCTGCAGACAGTGGGGAAAGCATGGAAGGTGGGTCTGGGAGGCCAGCCAGGGGTGTTGGTACAGGGCAGGGGTGAGCTGCCTCTCCCTCTGAGGTCACCACACACTGGCGTCTTTGTCCACCCCGGGTTCCCTCCTCATTGCACGTGCCCAGACAGCACAGGTGGACTGCCCAGCCTTCCCCAGCTGTCATAGCTCGGCCACGATGGAAGCAGGTGGACTCAGGAGAGTTCCTACCCTTTGGCTAGAAAGAGAGGTGCGCACGTGCCAGGCGGCGGGCCTGGAGCTCCTGCACGGGCTGTGGCTCAGGGCTGCACGTTGGCTCTGTGCAGTTGGGAGGTTCTCACCCTCTGCTGCCGGCATCCCTAGAGGTTTCTTGAATGCTTTGTGGTGTTCATGCGCCTCACGTCCATTGTGGTCTTCTTCCTGGGCTCTTTTCTGGATAAAATGGTCCTGGACATCTTTATCTTCTCTGGAGTGGAGGCTTTCCCCACTTTTCACCATGTTTCCTGCATGTCTTTGCACTTTCCCAGTGCTGCTGGGTCCCTCTGGAATCACGCAGACCAAAGCTGAATGTGCGTTCATGGTGAGCCCATACCACTACCCTTTGCCTTCCCAGCCTCTCCTTCCTGACAGTCGGACTTCTCATCCCTACTCCTCCTTACGCCGCACACAGCTGGATGCTGTCTTGGGGCTGTGCTGGCACTTGGCATGCCCATTATGTCAGTGCAGTGATGAGGCGGCAGTGCCTCTTCTAT